CCGGTGAGATTAGAACCGCTGAACTGCAGATAACAGTCAGCTGAAGTGGCCTGCAGTACTGCACCCTAACCACTGCGCCACCTCGGCTCCTTATTCTGGGAGTTGAAGTCCACAAGTCTAAAAAAATTGCTGCCTCACCAGCCATAAACCTCACTGCACGTCACTGCTGGATACTCATGGCAGACTAAACCATAAACTAATAATAAGCTCTATCAAATTCATTAGACTAAAACATAGTTGTACAGGTGGCCTTGTGTATCATGTAAAGACAGATATCTTGTCAATAATACTGGTAATTTAACATCAAACTGAATTCCATTACCTAGGGTGAAAAAGTTCAAATTCTACAGTAAAGCTACTTTCCTGAGGTCTACTCACAATCATAAAATAATATGCAACCATTTGGATTCTCAATACTATTTGACAGGATGCTTTTAAAAAGGAAGTCAGAGGGAAGAGAGAATGACATGTTGAAATCATACCTATTTAATGGCTAGATTGATGAAGCATATTAAAGTATAGTTTTTGGTTTAATTTAGTACAAAATATCAACCCAGAAAATTGTGGCTTATATAATGAAAGTTTATTAAATATTCATAACTCAACATGTTGTGTGAATCTAGCTAAGATGTTGGAGTAAAAAAGGTTTGTAGGTTTTCATATAGTAAAAAATACGTCAACATTCTTTTTTTAGTTGCATGACTTAATGGTTCATAGCAAACAACCAATTTATTTTGTTTATTTCATCATTGTGCTTGTAATAGCTTTCACATAAAATGAAACAAATATAATTGAAATTTCAATAGAAAATATAGATTGGGAAGCCTAACTTTAATATGAGCTAAAGCAGAAGTATGGCAATCATTAACATTTCTTTAAACTATCATTCAAAATTCAGGATACTTAAAAAATTCTTAAAATTGACACTCTTAAAAGACTTAAAAAATAAACAATTAGATATTAGATAGGAAATGAATTACTTTGGGGTGAATTTTGTCAATTCATTGTCCTGAATCCAAATACAATATTTAATTTCCACTGTTGTTAATGATAAAGTTCAGTCATGAAATATAGAATGATGAGTTAAATCATAACTAGTATATGCAATAAAAAGTGCTTTTGAATCTACAGTCAATTATTGACTACTACTACTACTACTACTACTACTACTACTACTACTACTACTTCTTCTTCTTCTTCTTCTTCTTCTTCATCATCATCATC